GTGGAGTGGGTGATATCGGATTCTGGGCAAGAAAATGTGAATGTTCACCTATCAGAACCCAGTCATCTTGGGGTAGAGGCTAAGATTCCAGTGGGAGGAGGAGGAGGAGGAGGATGAGAAAGATGGCCAGTGTAAGATGGCATAGCCAGTCTCTTTGCTGTTGTTGTTTAAATTCTCTTTTTTATTATGAATTTGACAAACATCAACATGAACATCTTAGTATCCAAAGAACAGAAAGAGAGGGTGCTATATGAAACTGTAAACTTCGGCTACTTACAATGTGTTTTAAAAATGTGTGTTACATTTAACGTGGTAGAAACAAAATTGCCCTGCTGGTCTCTGTGCCCTTCGGCACTTCCTGCTCTCTCTTCTGTGTATTTTTTCAATGTTTCTTGATTCTTTTTTTTTTTTTGCTCCCCATCAGTATTGCTACCCACCATTTTCCATTAAAACTTCTCCAGCCCTCCAAAACAGATGTAAAATATAACTAAGTATAGTCAAGCAAAGCAAACAGACACACAGGTCACATCTGAAAATGTGTCTCATTTTGCATCTCTCTGGCGCTCCACTACTTCTTTGCCAACAGCTGGGAAGAATGTTTCATCTTCAGTCCTTTGAAGCCATGACTTTGGTCATTGAACTGCTCAGAGTTCTTCAATCTTTCACTTATTTTCCTTTCCATTACTGTGGTCAGTGTAAATTACGCTCTTGGTTCTGCTGATTTCACTCTTCATTTATTCCTATAAAATTTCCCAGGTTTCTCTTAATTTATCTTATTTTTTTTCATTTTCTATGATGCAATTTGTATGAGAGGCACCATGAGGTGCCTAATCTTAGAGCTAGGGAGAGACCTGGGCTCACTTCAACCTCTCTATATTCTAGCCACCTTTTCTTTGGGGGAGGAAGGGGGACTCGGGGGGGGGGGTGTAGAGAAGGCAATAGGGATTAAGTGACTTGCCCAGGGTCACACAGCTAGTATTTAAGGTCAAGTTTGAACTCAGGACCTCCTGACTCCAGGGCTGGTACTCTATCCACTGCGCCACTCCTTAGTCAACTCTTTGGAAGATTATAAATTACAAAGAGGATCCTGACCAGGAAATCACAGGTTTAGTCCCTATTCTTAGGATGCAATAATGTTTCATTTTTTTGTTACAATAGTCCTGCTATGTTTATGTGTGTGTGTGCATGCACACATACATGTATCTACATACATATATACCTATATATACATACATATATACACATATATATATCTATATGTTCTTTTAAGGTAGATACCTAGTAGGTGTATTGCTGACTCAGAGTATATATAGTTTGTAATTTTTTGAATATGGTTCCAAATTACTTTCCAGAATGGTTGGACCAATTCCCAGCTCAACCAACAGTTCATTGATGTGCCTGTGTTTGTAAGACCTGCTGCTACCCTTTTCTGCCCCCTTCTCCCTTATTGGCATTTTCCTTTTTTTGTCATTTTTGTCAACCTGATGGGCATGAGGCAGAAACTTAGAATTGTTCTAATTTGCATTTCTCTTGATTTGGAGCATTTTTTACCTATGGTTATTGGTAGCTTGCATTTCTTTTCAAAACTGCCTATTCCTATCTTTTGCTCATTTATCTTTTGGGGAATGACTTTTATATGCTTGCAACAATTCCCTATGTATCTTGAATATAAGATCTTTCTCAGAAAAATTCTGCTTTATTGCTTATGCAAAGGCTTTTCATTTTTACGTAATCAAAATTTCCTATCTTGATTGTCTACATCTCCAGGATTCTTATAAACATAGTTGTGAATGTCATTTAATTATTTTTATAATTAGGTTATGTATTCATTTGGTGCTTTTGTTGGTAGAGGGTGTGAAGTGAGATGGCTTCTCAATTTTCCCAGGAGTTTTGGTCAAACAGGGAATTCTCTGCCAATATCCATTCTCTCTACCCTTCCCCTACCCCCAACAAGTTAGTATCTCGTGGTTTTATCAAACACCAGGCCACTGTTTATGTCTTACTTGTGTCATGTTCCATTAGTCAGTTTTTCTATTTGTTTTGAGATTTGACTACAGCTTTTTCTTTTTGGCTAGTTCAAGATCTGGTACTACCCTCCTTTCCAATCTTCCTTGAGATTCTTCTGTTCCTCTGGATGAATTTTGTCTGGTTCTAAAGTAATCCTTTGGTTTACTTTGGCAAACCAAAAGTTTGATTGGTATGCCAATTGTAAATTAATTTGTAGCATTGTCATTTTTACATATTAATAACAATCTTCTGTTTTTCTTTACTTCTGTAGTTTTTTATTTTGAAATTTCTTATAACTCCAGGGTTGTCTTGGTACATGAGGTACCAGCTAATGGAATCTCTCTTACTAGCCTAGCATAAATTATTCAGCATGTAAAGATGATTGGATATGCCCCCAAGCAGACATCTGAAGCCTGGCTATTTGTGATGGCTTCAAACTTGACATAGATTTCAACACCGATCTCTTCCCATCTCACCTTCTTTATCTTTGTTTTAAGGCTGGATCTACTATAAAGGTTTCAGGTCTCTCAAGTCATGCTAGCCATGTCTGTATAGACCTAAAAAAGTTCTTCTGAATTTTCTTCATCCCCCAATGGATGATGGCTATTTTCCTGTGTATTGCCATGAAGGGCTTCTATGCAGATAAATGGCCACTCTGACTGTGAGGGAAGGATTTGGGTCAATTACTGCTTGTCACTATCAAGACCCAGCTCTCTCCCATCCCTTCCCTAGTGGCTGGCCAGCAGCAGGCTCTGCCTCTTAGAACACTGAATCTTAGAACATACACTAAGATGGTCCTTTCTCCAAAGCTCTTATCACATCTCTTTGAGACAGGCTACTGGCTCCTGGGATTCTACAGTTCAAGTCTGGGATCTACACACATTGGATAAGATTAAAAAAAAAACACTGGAAGGCCACAAAGGAAATGTCAGCTGTGTTTGCTTCTCCCCATCTGGGCTCCTGGTAAGCTGGGATTCTCTTCCTGTCCCTTAGGAAGGAGAGAAGGCATCTCAGGAAAGACCATTATCAAAACACTCCCACTTGTCCCACAGGCCTCGGGCTCCTGGGACAAAACCATCCTCATCTGGAAGCCTGAGACAGGGAAGCTCCTCATTAAACTGTTAGGACATCTGACCTGGGTGAAGAGTATGGCCTTCTCTGCCGATGGGCTTCGCATGGCTAGCTCGGAATACTCTGAGATGGTAATCCTTACCACTTTTTCCTCCTAGCTGGAGCTTGGCTACCCTACCCATAGGTCTGGTACTATTGGCAAGGGCTGGCTTTGGAGACAAAGGAACTGAATTCAAATCCCAACTCTGTGACCTTACACCTGCTAAGGAAGCAGGCTGCAAACTGTAAGATAGGGGAGTTGAGCTATATCAGAGGTGGTAAGCATTCCTGAGGCCCAAATCACATTAAAATGTAATTGGGAGATGTTTAGCAAATACATACACAATAAAACAGATAATATGTGGTTTTCTAAATCAATAAGTGGCCTGAGTTTGGCACCACTGGGCTAGATGACCTCAAAAGCACCATCTATGCCTGAAGCTACATTTTGATCCTATGACCTAAATGGGGATAAATGCAGTCAGCATACACAACGTCTCCGTAAGGAAAAATCCTTTGAATTCCCTGTGCGCTGTGGCCAAAGCAGTGGCTGGCTCTACAGAATGGCCTAAAAGGTTTTCATCTTGTCTACTATCTCACCTGCTCTGTTTCCTGATTGTTGCTTGGTAAGGCTGAGCAAGGCTGGTCAGGTAGCTCCACAAAAGCTTTCAGGCTTCCTCCAGCCACAGTAGGTGTATCAAGCTAGATTATTCACCATTCAGGCTGGCAGAGCTACAAGTGATCTTACAAGGGAACTAGTCCAATCCTGATGACAAAAACAAGTTCAGTGAAAGAAATTGACCAGGGTCACAAGCTAGTAAAACCAGACCCCAAGTATACTCCATTATTACCCTGCTTCTCTGTAAAAAATGTGTACAATTTGTCACACACAAGCCTATGCTTTAACTGATTTCTTTTCAATGTTCAGATTGTTTCTATAACAGGAACCTAAATTTAAAAGTGCAGAGACTACATAATAAAAACAGCTCAAACATGAGTTCACCTGATCTTCCCGTAGGACCCAAAGCCAGGTCTTCCAAGTCCCAATATTTTTGACATTTTCCCCTTTTTTAAATAGGTTAAAATCTGGGATTGTACGACTGGAACATGCACAGAGAGTCTGAGGGTAAGATACAGCAGGTGGGTGTGTGAGGGTAGAAAATGTGGTTTAAGTTAGCAAGTTATATACTCTAATAATCAATGAGTTATTTCCTACAGCATCCAAACCATGTAGCAAAACAAGTTAATAACATTCTTTGTGGAGTGGTTGAGGTCATTTAGTCCAACACTCATAAAGAGGAATGAAGGTGATCAGAAGTGACTTGCCAGGGTCACCTGGCTGCTTAGTGGCAGAAATGGGACTTGAGAACAGGTCTTCTGGTTCCCAACCCATAGAGGGTTTCTACTTTATTTTTTGGCAGGGAGTTTTAGAAGTGGCCCACGTCTGTGCTTTCACCCCAGATGGGAAGTTGCTGGTTTCAGGGTCGGCTGATCACCGAATATTTGGAGAAGGAATCGCAGATGGTCAAGTATTTGGAGAATATTCCAGGCGCTGTCAGATGAGCCATTCAGCCTCTCAGAAGTCAACTCTAAGTGACAGCTGCTTTAAGGCCACTGAAATACGCAATCTAAACCTGGAACCAGGAGCCACAATAAAGAGAGCTAAGAGCAGCACCATTTCTACCACAGGATGAGAACACTGAAAATCTATGACCCAAGCTAGGTGATAAGGAGTTTAAAAGAAACAGCATTGGGGTTAACCTTAAACTTAACTATCAGGAGAAACTAAGTCTTCTTATGAAATGAATACCTTACACAGTAACCAATAAAGAACCAACACACTACAGCCTCAGCTTCTTAAAAGGGACCAAAAGGCAGTCTTCTTCAGTATTCCACAGGTTATAACAATTTGTCTTTTTATTGAGCACTTTAGCAAATTATGCCTTTACAGCAAATTTCCGAAGGGGGTACAGGCGCTCCTTCCTCTGCTGTTTTTTGGTCTTCAGGCTTTCCTCATGCTTATTAAGCCTGCGGCGCATGGCACGGGTCTTCTTAGGCCGAAGGTCCAGGGGCTTGTATTTCTTGCCCTGTTTTTGAGAAAATAAGCCATGACCCTCAAAGCAATCACATGTTATCAGCGCATAAAACCTGGAACAAGAGACTCCAAATCAGGTGACCAGAAGGTATTAATTTTAGTAATTCCTGAAAGAGCTACCATCTTTCTAGGTTTATGGAATCATGAAAGTCAGAACTATGAGGACCTTCAAGATCTAGTCCAAAATCAGTTTTGCAAATTAGACCAAGGGAAGAGAAGTTACTTGTCCAAGGGTCATGGTTAGTGGCAGAACCATGATTCAAAGGCTTCATCATGCTGGCTTGAAACTGTAGTTTCAACTGGAAACCTAAGCCTCTTATTAGCCTGATAGGCAGATGTAGAATTAATGGTAGAATTTGAATCCATATCCTGCACTCTAGAATCCTGTTTGTATCCCCTTAGTCCAATTGCTGTGTTTCAAAGTTAAGGAAAAGGGGGCCCAGAAGTGACTTGAGTTCCTATAGCTAACTGGTCTCCTAATTCAGCACTTCTTGTTTGTTTGTTTGTTTTTTAGGCAGTTGGGGTTAAGTGACTTGCCCAGAGTCACACAGCCAGTAAGTGTCAAGTGTTTAGTCTGAGGCCGGATTTGAACTCAGGTCCTCCTGACTTCTGGGCCTGTGCTCTATCCACTGTGCCACCTAGCTGCCCCCTAATCCAGCACTTCTTAAACTGTGGATAAGAAGCACTGAAGGGGTTGAGAGTGGAAAAAGTTTAAGAAACCTTGTCCTAAATTCAGTCTTTCCTCCCACCAGGGCTTCTGCCATGCTACTGCACATAGACTAAATATAAATAAATTCTTTAGCACTCAGGTCCCATTCCACATCCCGGAAGCTTAACCAGAGCACCTTAGCTTGAAGAGAGCTCTTCTTCTTCTCAACTCCTATACAGTTCCTTACCATTTATCTTATTGGGCTGGGACCTTAGTGAATCCATGGTATGACACAGCAGCCTCCCTGCTCCCCCAATCCCACAAATGGAAGGAAAGCAATGTCCATAACAAGGGAGGCGAGATACTACACTGGATTCTGCACTAGCCAGACCAGATGTAATGTTTAGTTCTGGATGCTGCATTTTAGGAAGAATGTTAAAACTGGAGAACATCCAGATGGGGCTGACCACATTGGTGAGGTGATTACAGATCATGCCAGAAATTAAGACTGTTTTAAAGAAATGGAGACATTTAGCCTGAAAGGACATAAATACTTCTCTTAAATACTGAAAGGCTATTGCGGAAGATGAAATCAATTTGTTCTGCTTGGTCCTACATCGAAAAATCTACTCCTTCCTTGTGCTAAGGATACCACCACGCTCCCAAGTACTCAGGTTTATAGTCTTGAGAATAAATCCTAATTCTCTCTCCCTTAATCCCACCCCTCCCTAGCCAACCAGGCCCAATGCTGTTCATTTTATTTCTGCAAACTCTCATGCTGATATTCTTTCTATTCCCACTAACATCACATTTATTTCAGGCTCTCAACACATTTCCTTGTTCCGTTTTTTCACACAGCTGCCAAATCCATTCTCCCAAGGCATGGGTCTTGATCACTCCAGAATCTTTAGTGGCTACCAAGATCACAAACTCTGCCACTCTTCCTTTAGGGCCTTTCACCATGAGGCTCAGACTAATCTCCTGTTATTTCATTCTCATTTTGGCCAAACTGAACAACCAGCTGCTGTTTGGCTTGACAGTTGAAAGCCGCCTACCCAATTAAGCAGTGGAAAGGACGCTGATTTTGAAATCGGGAGACCTGGGCTCACTTTCTGGCCCTGTCATTTAATAACTGTGTGACTTTCTAAGTCACTTAGCCTTTTAGGCCTCAGTTTCTTCACCCGAAATCTACCTTCAAAGTCTTTCCCAGCTACAATGCCGTTAATCTTACAATCTGTACCTATGCATACCTGGAATGCCCCAGTCTAATGGTATTCTTTCAGCCTTCAAATCAGTTTGTATCTACTTACCTGCGTCCATATTATAATACCAGATATAATCTAAGCTACCTGAGAGCAAACTGTTCCTTTTCGTGTTTCAATCCCAGTGGCTTACACATATAGCAGGTGATTGATTAACAAACATTTACTCACTGTGGGCTAGACATAAGGAAAAAATCTAGCAAACAGACCGACCAAAAATGTTCAAGCAGAGGAGAAAGGACCATTTATTAAATATCATTTAGGTAAGGGTTGAACTGGATCAATTGGATTAGATTCTGTGATCCCTCTCCCAGCAATGCCTTGGCTCAAAAATACCCAGGGATAGGGAACTTACTACCCAAAGCAGCCTGTCCCATTTTCCCTGGGGAAATCTTACTGTTACCTAAAGCCTGCCTCCTTTGAAACCAGCACCTATTAGTCTTAGTTATCGTATCAGAAAACACCTCCACTTTTATTGGCATGAAATGAAAGGTTTCTCACACACCCATACCACTCCTCATTTTCCTTTTTCTAGGACCTTTCTCAAGTCCCCAGTTCCATTCAAACCACCTTAAGCAAAGGACAAAGAAATGCAAACTGTACCTTCTGGAAAGCTCACTGAGTAAAAATACAGTTTTTATGCTTCCCAGCAGGAGAATTCTGTAGCAAGATCAAATTCACACTTTCTCTGTAAGTCAGAGCAGTGCTGGGTGTGTGTCTTGCAGTTTAGTTCAAGTTGATTTTATCCACAAGACAGATACTAACTTCTCAGAGCTCAACTCACCTTATAGAATTTCCTGAGGTTCTCTTTCTGTGTTTGGTTGATGACAGTCAGAACTCGGGCAATAGATTTTCGGACGACTCGGCTGTTAATGAAAGAGATTTCAGCTTAGGAGGCAAAACAGGGCCATGGTACATCCTACACACTTCATGCTACCAGTAGTCTGCCCTAGAACTAAAACCTAGAGATTTGCTGTTACACAGAAAGTTCAGTCAGAGAATTATGAACTGTTATAGAACAGACCCCAGAACATGGAATGAGGTTGGAGGAAACCTGGTCAAACTTTATAGATGAAAGAAATTTAAACCCATGGCAGAAATGGTTCTGTTCAAGAGCACACAGCTTGTCAGTGGCTTAACATGGTGCTTTTTACCTTTCTACTGTAATAGGCTGTTTCTCAATCTTTGTTATTTCACAGGTAGGTTTCTTAAAATAGACACCAGATTTTGGAGGATAGAAACTACAGATCAGCTAGTTAAACCCTTTTTATTTTAGAGGAAACTGAGGCCCCAATAAGTAACCTGCCCAAGGTCATGCAGGTGATCGAGTGGCAGAACCAAGACTCACCTACAAGTTTCCTCCAGTGCATTCTAACCATCACTGTTCTAAAGGTCCTTTCCAGTTCTAACAACATATTTTCCATAACTCTAGTCACAAGCTAGGAATTTCTAACGTGCACTCTGAAAACCAGAGAAGCAGCAAATTACATAAATCAACTCCACTGCTAAATTTCTTTAGAAATTGAAGATGGGGGCAGCTAGGTGTAGCAGTAGATAGCTCGTCCTGCCTTGGAGTCAGGAGGTCCTGAGTTCAAATCTGGCCTCAGAGATTTGACAATCACTAGCTATGTGACCCTGGGCAAGTCACTTAACCCTGACTGCCTCAACAAAAAGAAATGGAAAAAAAAAAAAGAAACTGAAAACACTCACATCTTAGAAAGCTTGGATGCAGCTCCTCCAGTGACCTTGGCCACTCTCAACTGGGAAAGTTCCACCTTTAAGTCATCTAACTGTTTGAGTAGCTCCTCCTTCTTCTTCCCACGAAGATCCCTGGCCTTGATTTTTGCCTAATGTCAGAAGCAAAACAGTAGGAATTTAAGCAAGCCAAATGATCAGGCTGGGGAGACTGAAGAAAAGCAGAAGACTTTCAATTAGGGCCGTCATTACATTTACTGGGGAAAAGGTAGGAGGAACCCTGGGCCCATTTCCTCCCAGAAAACCAACCACCTTCATAACATCTATCATTTGTTATCTTAAGATAGGATAACAGCAAGAATACTCTTTTCACCCTCCCCTCCAATTTCCAACTATTTCCACTTCCATTTTACAGCCCAAACCAAGATGTACTAACTTGTCACACACGCTAATTAGTGCTGGAGTCATATTTTGAACTGAGATTCCTGACTCCAAGTTCATGGCTCCGCTAAAATGAGAATACAACCAGGGCTTTCCAAAAAAGGCAAAAATAAGTTTAACAGGAAAGGACTGATGGATATAATCGTGGGAACGGTATAAGCAGCATGGTCCAGTGTTAACAGCAGACCTGGATGTGGATTGTGGTCCTGCCTCTTACTTGCTGAAGACATGACAGATCCCTGGGCCTTTCTGGACGGCTGTCGCGAGCACGCTGCCTCTAGTTACTTGACTGCGACCCGTCAGAACTGGAAGGGCCCTCAGACTGGGTCGAGCCACCCGCCCCTCCACTTTTTCGAGGCCTAGAAAGGACCGCGATGTGTCCCGGGCGCACCGCGGGGTCCCCGGCAGCCGCGGCTCCAGCCCCGCCTCTCCCTCTTTCCTCCCCGCCACCCTCCTAAGGCTGGAACCGGTGCCAAGGCCGAAGAGCCCGGCGCCGCAGCCGGAGGCTCGTCAGGCGTCCGCAGCGCCCCGGACCGCGGCTCCGGAGCCTCCACGGCCCCGCCATCGGAGACCGGGCAGGAGGCCCCCGGGTGTGGCGCGAGCCGGGGGACTCCGGAGCCCGAGGATGACGGCGGATTCCTGGCGCGGAGCTCACCATGATCGCAGAACAGCCACCCCGCCACCTGCTCTGAAGGGAAAGAGGAAAGGGGAGGGGCCGACCCTGAGAACTACTACCGGGTCACGGACGCGACCAAGCCAAAGCAGAGGAAAGGTGATATGTACGGAGAATGGTACAGTCCGCCCAGAAAGGGCAAGGGGGAGGGGATAGGAGGGGGAGGGGAAAGGAGGGGAAGGCAGAAGTGGGGGGAGGGCAGAAAGCGGGGAGGGAGGCGGCCTCACGAAGGCATGCACACCCACCCGCGGTTAAAGCCAGGGCTGCTCTAGAACTTCTTCCATTTTTCAAGGCCCAGTTTAGGCTCTTCCCCCTGGAAGCCCTCCTTGATTCTTCTCCCATCGAATTTCTCTTTAACAACTTGTACTTCACCTTTAGAACAGTTTTTTCCTTCTGCAAAATCGATCAATCCTACCTTTCCAGTAGTCTTTACACATTCCTGACCTGCACATATCTAGCAGTCCAGTCTCACTGATCTACTTTTTCTGTAGGCCCCCAGGATTATTCATCTCCAGTCTCCCTGCCTTTGTACTTGCTGTGCCCACGCCTGGAATTCATTCCCTCCACAGCTCTTCCCCATAATCCCCTTTCACAATCCCTTGTTTTCTTCAAGATTCAGTTCAAGCCTACCTTTTACATGAAACCATTCCTGATCTCACTAGTTTCTAATGCACTTTCACCCATAATGACCTTGTATTTTGTATTTAAGTATCTATGTGCATATATGTACTTATATATAGCTTTATTTATATCTATATAAACTTACATATGTACATGCTGTCTCCCCCATTAGAACGTAGCTCCTTGAGGGTAGGGACTGTTTCATTTTTGTCTGTATTTCCAGAGCTTAGCACAGTGCCTGAAACATAGTAGGTGCTTAATAAGTGCTTACTGACAGATTCATCATAGGGGACAGTTATACATTGTCTACCTCACTAGTGAGACTCACAAGAAATAATAGCACAATAACATCAAATTTAAAGCCGGAAGGAACCTTAGAAATAGTCTAATCACCTTTGTACAGAAGTGGAAACGGAAGTCCAAGCAAGTTAGAGGGCCAAGATCACACAAACGGCAAGTAGGAAAACCAGCATTCCAGGATTTGAAATAGATAATACATGTGGAATCAAGGAACATTAAAACACAGAATGTTAAGATACAGAATACATAGTAGAAATGGAAAGGCTCATAGGGCATAGATGTTAGAACACAGAATGTTAGAGCTGGGAAGACCCTTTAAGAGTTAAAGGGCTTTTAGAGACCCTTTAAGACTTATCCCATTATTTCGAAGAGGTTCAGAAAACTGAGGTTCAGAAAAGGATAACAACTGAATCCAAAACCCAATTTCTTGAAATCTGTCCCCCAAAGCTTCAAGCCAGCAGAAGAGCTGAGGATAAAATTCAGGCCCTGTGACTCCTCGGTTCAATGTTCCATCCATTCCATTTATAATGCCTTCTTGCAACTATAAAGTGTTAAAATAATAAAGGGCATCATTATGAATTATTATTATATATAAATGTTTGGTATAACAATATTTCCCGTAACTAGACTTATTTTAGTGGTAGAAGGGATCTGGACCAGAGTTCAAAAAATTGGAAAGATCTTAGTTTTTAGTTTTCCCTACCAAACCTACTATTAAGGGACGTGGGAAAGAAAAGACAGGTTTTTTGAAATTCTCTAGCTGTGTTCCAGTGTCTGGAAGCTGAATCGGAATGCTGGCTTCACTACTTCCTCCCTATGTGATACTGGGCAAGTCATTTTCTTCTCTGAGCCCTAAAAATGAATTGGATTTAAACAGTATCTACATTCCTCACTAGGATTGATCCTCTGATACCACTTCACTCCTGGAAATTGGTTATAGCTAGCTCACACACAGAACCTGTCAGCAATTAACATCTCTAATATGTAGTTACCAGTTGATGCTTAGCAACAGAGGCAGGGGCTGTTTTTGTATCTGGTACAGTACCAAGCAGGCTGTGGGCGCTTCATGAATGTCAAGTGACAATAATAACTACTCCTTCTCCCACTGAGGATGTCAATCCCTAGCCCCCGAGATATGGATTGCTTTCCAAAAGTGCCTTTTGGAGATGGGGAATGGAAAATAAGTACAACAGTAACACATCTCTACAGCATTTTAAGATCCACAAAATGCTTTCCTCAGAACACTATGAACCAGGTAGGTCAAGACAGAGAATCTGCTACCCACTCACCCCAAAGCTTTCCCAGGATATAAAAGAGGGGGAGCCAGAAATTGGTGCCTTTGGGTCAGACCAGGTGAAGATTGTTGGGCCTTCACATCGTTCTCAGCTGTCACATAATCTTGTACTTCTCCCAACTCCCCTTCTTGTATTAATTTTTTTGTACCTCCCACACCCTGTAATATTACTGGATGATCATGACTTGGGTTTCACTTTTGTCTTTTGGCAGGTTGAGTTTTAAAGACTGGAAAGTCCACACGGCCTCCTGGAAAAGATACTCCAGGGGGGCAGCTAGGTGGTGTAGTGGATAGAGTACCAGCCCTGGAGTCAGGAGGACTTGCATTCAAATCCAGCCTCAGGCCAGACACTTGACACTAGCTGTGTGACCCTGGGCAAGTCATTTAATCCCACTGCCTAGCCAAAAAAGAAAGAAAGAAAGAAAAGAAAAGATACTCCAGGGAAGTAGGAAACAGATTCTAAGCTGGATCTGTTGGTCAGAAGAGTGCTGGATTTGGAGTCCAAGGACCAGATTTCAATCTCTGCTTTTCTAGTTACAAAGATTAGTGACTTTTGATACATCATTTCCACGCACTGGGCCTCCGCTTCTTTGTCCTCATTATAAGAGGGTTTTGAGTAGGTAATCTCTAATGTCCCATTCAGCTTTAAATGAGCAGGTCATTTCCTTTCTTTGGGAATGTCTGCCCCATTCTAAGGTTCATTCAATAAACATTTATTAGACAGCTACTGTAAGTATTGTGATCTGTGATTCATCAGCACTAAGGGCAAGGCAAAGATGTGTGACAGCCCTGGTTCTCATAGAGTTGTAATCAAATGATCAAAAGAGAGAATATTTGTAAAGCATTTAGCACTCAGTCAGCTTCCCCCAGGAACCTCATCATCCTGTAAAACCACATCATATCAGCCTCGGTACTCTCATCTCATCAGTACCCTCTGCCTCTGGGACCCCTCTGATTGAAGGGGAGAACTGTCCTCCATGCCTAGAATTCTCTCCCTCTTCGATTCCACTTCCTAACTTCTCCTTCCTTCAAGTACATTAGATTGTAAGTTCCTTGAGGGCAAGATTGTGTTTTGTCTCTTTTTGTATCCCTAGCATTTAGTACAATTTAGTACATAATAAGTGCTTAATAAATGTTTAATGAATGATTGATTGCAATAATAAACGTACTGCAAGAAGCCTTTCCCACTGCTCCCTCCTACTAGTGTCTTCCCTCTGGGATTATCTCCAATTTAGCCTCTACTTGTCATTTGTTCATAGCTGTTTAGGTAGTCTCCCCACTAGACTGAGCTCCTTGAGGGCAGGGCCTTTTCTTTTCCTTTTTTTTTGGGGGGGGGGCTTTGTCTCCCTTTCGCTTAGCACAGTGCCTGGCACGCAGTAACAACCACCAATGCGTGTTGACTCCCTCTGCCAGCTGGGCAAAATCACTCCCAAATTCTCAGATTGTTAGGTCAGACATGGACCTCAGAGATGCTCCAGACTCCCTTCAGGTTAATGATCTGCATAAGAGAACTTAGTCCTCACCCCTTCTTACTTCCCTTGGCTGTTAGAGATGGGGAAAGCTCTCCGTAAATCCTGAAGCACACGAAGGAGGAACCTCGGGTTAGAGTGATTATTTACCACCCCGCCTCTCCCTCCAAGCCCGCCGCCGCCACCGCCTGGGAGAAACAACCTGGGGCCAGCCTCGCCAGTGTAAAGCAGCCTCCTTGCCTCCCCAGTCCAGCCCCGCCCCTTCAGCCCCGCGCCCCCGCTGACCCACATCCGGTTCCGGCCTTCGCCGGAAGCTGGCGTGCGTCGCGGCGCGCGGCGCGGCGGAGTCGTCTCCCGGACCGTTGCCGGGGCCGTTGCCGGGCTCCGAGCGCTGTCTCTGTGGGCTCTCCTCGCTCACTCTCTTTTCTCTCCCGGCGTTGCGCGGGAGGCGGAGGCGGCCGCCGCCATGGCCCGGAACACGCTGTCCTCGCGCTTCCGCAAGGTGGACATCGACGAGTTCGACGAGAACAAGTTCGTGGATGAGCAGGAGGAAGCGGCGGCGGCCGCGGCGGCGGAGCCGGGCCCGGACTCGGACCCGGACCCCGGGGAGGTGGACAGCCTGCTGCGGCAATATCCTTCCGCCACCCGCGCGGGCTCGGGGGAGGGAGAGGAGGAGGGGGCGCGGGCGGGGAGAGACCCCGAGGAGAAGGGGGTACAAGGGCGGAGGGAGGGGGAGGGAAGAGGGACCGTCTTGGAATGTCTTTACGAGCCGCTCCCCGCGGACCACCCCAGGGACCCCGGTCACCCCGAGAGCATTCCAAGGCTGCTCCCCGCTTCGGAGACCCTTCCCCACCCTGCTGCATCCCACAGGTCCTGCGGTTCTGAGATTTCCCTCTTCCCTTGTTCTGTCCTGCGGATTTAGTTATCCCATGCATTGTAGAATGTATGTAGCTAAGGCTAGGAAAGGTCTGGGGAGGGACTCCCCGGCCCCCATTTTTTCGGATGGTCAGCATCTTTTTTTCTCCGTCTGGTGCTTTACACCCCCCACCCCTGCTTTGTGTAAAGAGATTGGGAGCCTCTGGGAACTTGCCCCCGAAGCCCTGGGACTCTGGCTTCTCTAAGTCCTGATTTCCCCATCCCACCAACCTGGGACTGAATACAGGTGTGATGAGGGCTGGAGGGATGGGCCAAGTTTGGAAAAATGTGGAGTGGTTGGTTTTACCTGTTTAGAAATGGAAGAAGTGGGTGTCTTTAACTGTATAATACCCCACCCTGCGGAGCGGAGATGTGGGGGGAAATGGGGCAGGAAATGGGGCCCTTCTCGTCAGCCTCCATCTGGGGAGTGCTCAAGGTGATCCAATGCTGAGTAATAGATGGGGTCAGAGCAGTCCTGGATACA